TTGCAGAAACTGCTGAAGGAGAGGGTGAATCGAGTCAATTTGCCGAGGTGAAAGCCATCCAGCTGGCCCTGGACATTGCTGAACGAGAAAAGTGGCCAGTACTTTATCTCTATACTGACTCATGGATGGTGGCAAATGCCCTGTGGGGGTGGTTGAAGCAATGGAAGCAGAGCAACTGGCAACGCAGAGGTAAACCCATCTGGGCTGCTGCACTGTGGAAAGATATTGCTGCCAGGGTGCAGAACCTGGTGGTGAAGGTACGTCATGTAGATGCCCATGTACCCAAGAGTCGGGCCACTGAGGAACACCAGAACAACCAACAAGTGGATAAAGCGGCTAAGATTGAAGTGGCTCAGATGGACTTAGATTGGCAACATAAAGGTGAATTATTTTTGGCCCGGTGGGCCCATGACACTTCAGGCCATCAGGGCAGAGATGCAACATATAGATGGGCCCGTGACCGAGGGGTGGACTTAACAATGGACACTATTGCCCAGGTTATTCATGAGTGTGAAACATGTGCTGCAATTAAACAAGCCAAGCGGTTAAAGCCTCTTTGGTATGGAGGACGATGGTTGAAGTATAAATATGGGGAGGCCTGGCAGATTGACTATATCACACTGCCACCAACCCGCCAAGGCAAGCGCCATGTGCTTACCATGGTGGAAGCAACCACCGGGTGGCTGGAAACATACGCTGTGCCCCATGCCACTGCCCGGAACACCATCCTGGGCCTTGAGAAACAGATTTTGTGGCGACACGGCACCCCAGAGAGAATTGAGTCAGACAATGGGACTCATTTCCGGAATAACCTTATAGATATTTGGGCCAAAGAGCATGGCATTGAGTGGGTATATCACATCCCCTACCATGCACCAGCCTCTGGGAAAATCGAACGGTACAATGGGCTGTTAAAAACTACACTGAGAGCGATGGGTGGGGGAACTTTCAAGCATTGGGATACACATTTACCAAAGGCCACCTGGTTGGTCAACACCAGAGGATCTGCCAACAGGGCTGGCCCAGCCCAGTCAGAACTTTTACATATTGTAGAGGGGGACAAAGTTCCCGTGGTGCATATGAAGAATTTGCTGGGGAAGACAGTCTGGGTTATTCCTGCTTCAGGTAAAGGCAAACCCACTCGTGGGATTGCTTTTGCTCAGGGACCTGGATATACTTGGTGGGTAATGCGGGAAGATGGGGAAGTCCGATGTATACCTCAAGGGGATTTGATTTTAGGGGAAAACAGCCAGTGAACTCAATTGTATGCTGTTGCCTGCTGTGTAATGCTTTTATAGCCCATCAACTAGATGTCTCCAGGTCACCAGCGACTGGCCCTGACTTCCCTCCAGCCATCATCCCAACAGAGAATGAACTTGGAACATCATGGACCGAATGGACTCGGCAGCATTATAGGGATTGGTCCATGCACTAAGAAAATGATTTTTTTCCTCTTGGTCTGTATGTATATGGATGTATATATGTGGGAGAGCGATGGTGTATTGAAAATGTGGGATCTGAGCACGACGTGAATGGTATGGAATAAGGGGTGGATAATGTCCTGGGTTCAGCAGTAGCAGTCATGTTTTTTCCTTTGTGTTAGCTGGTGCAGTGCTGTGTTTTGACTTCTAGTTTTGAGAACAGCGTTGGTGAAGCCGATGTTGTCGGTTGTTGCTAAGTGATGTTTACCCTGACCAAGGACTCTGTGAGGCTCATGCTCTGCCAGGGAGGAGGGGAAGCTGTGAGGAAGCAGAGACGGGGCGCCTGACCCGGGCTAGCCGGGGAGGTATTCCATACCACAGCACGTCATGCCCGGGGTGGGGGGTAACTGGGAGTTACCCGGAAGGACAGGAGCTTCCGGGTGGAACTCGTTTTCTTGGCCGGTGGTATCGTATTCTCTTCCCTTGTTATTTTCCCTTATCATTGTTTTAGCTGATAGTAGCGGTGGTGATTTGTTGCTGGACTGTTCTTGTCTCAACCCGTAGGAGTTGCACTCTCTCGATCCTCCTCCCCGTTCCTCCGGGAGCGGGGAAGGGGAGAGCCCCGGTGCAGGGAGGGGGGGGAGACAAACACGGACCTTGATTGTTGTCAGCTTGGCACCACTCACTGGGAGTGAGTGAACAAGTTACCTGACTGGGTTTAAACCACGACAGCGCTGAATAAAAAGCATACCTACTTTACAACTTTAACGAGTTGTGGAGTCAATCCACGCATCATTTCTACAAGTATATTAGCAGCAAAAGGAAGATAAGGAAAAATGTGGGGTTGCTGCTGAATCAGATGAGTGTCCTGGTAATAGAAGACACAGAGAAGGCGGAATTACTGAATGCCACCTTTGCCTCAGTCTTTACTGCTAAGAACAGGTCATTCTGGAGGTCATCACCAAGCATGTAAAAGTAAAGGTCTTCAGAAGTAGTCAGCGTGGATTCACCAAGAGTAAATATTGCTTGACCAATCTTCTATGATGACACGGCAGGATGGGTTGATGAGGGAAGAACAGTGGATGTTACCTACTGTGGGGAGTGAAGGTGATAAGATTTGCATGAAAAACAGTCTGGGAATGAGCTCTGAGGCCTTGGTGCTTAACAAGCCCTGGGGCGGTAATTTGGAATGTTGAAGGAGGGGAAAGGAAAACAAGCAAGACTTGGGGGGATGGGCCAGGATGTTGTTGTGGTGGGGAGTCTCAGTTGGAGGCCGGATGTGGGGGTTGTGAGCAGGTCTGAGATGGCAGGGTGAAACTGTCACCGTCTGGACAACGTGTGCTCAGCATTGTGACTGGACTATTTACCTGGGGATTTTTACAAGGGCCAATGAGATTGAACATGGCATGCTTGTGCAGGTTGGGAAAGTACCGAACAAGGGGATAAAAAGGGCTTGATTGTAATAAAGTTGGATTTGAGTCTCCTCATCAACTTGAGTCTGTGTCGTGATACGCCACAACCTACCTCGACTTCAGCAAGGCCTTTGACACTGTCTCCCATAACATTCTCGTAGGCAAGCTTAGGAAACATGAGTTAGGTGAATGGACAGTGAGGTGGATCGAAAACTGGCTGAATGGCAGAGCTCAGAGAGTTGTGATCAGTGGAGTAGAATCCAGTTGGAGGCCTGTAGTCAGTGGTGTTCCCCAGGGATCAGTACTGGGTCCGGTCTTATTCACCTTGATTATCAGTGACTGGGATGAAGGGCTAGAGCGTACCCTCAGCAAGTTTGCTGATGATACAAAGCTGGGGGGAATGGCTGATATGCCTGAAAGCTGTGCTGCCATTCAGCAAAACCTTGCTAGGTTGGAGAATTGGGCAGAGAGAAACCTAATGAGGTTCAACAAGGGCAAGTGTAGGGTTATATCCCCATGATGAAAAATCAGGCAAAGGGGGCATGGATGAGCAGAGAGCACCTGGGGGAGGAAGAACTCCAAGTACCAGTACAGGTTGGGGGCTGACCTACTGGAGAGCAGTTCTGCTGAGAAGGACCTGGGAGTATTGGTGGATGATAAGTTGACTATGAGACGGCAGTGTGCCCTTGCGGCCAGGAGGGCCAATAGTATCCTGGGGTGCATTGGGAGGAGTGTGGCCAGTAGATTGAGAGAGATGATCCTCTGCTTCTACTCAACCCTGGTGAGGCTACATCTGGGGTACTGTGTCCAGTTCTGGGCCCCTCAGTGCAAGAAAGACAAGGAGCTACTGGAGAGGGTCCAGCAGAGGGCCAGGAAGATGATTAAGGGTCAGAAGCATCTTATGAGGAGAGATTGCAGGAGCTGGGCCTGTTTAGTCTGGAGAAAACTGAGAGGGGGACCTCCTTAATACATATAAATACCTGAAAGGCGAGTGCCAGGAGGATGGTGCCAGACTCTTTTCAGTGGTGCCCAGTGACAGGATGAGGAGCACTGGCCATAAACTAAAGCACAAAAAGTTTCACCTCAACATGAGGAAGAATTTCTTTACATTGAGGGTGGCAGAGCACAGGAACAGGCTGCCCAGGAGGGTCGTGGAGTCTCCCTCTCTGGAGACATTCAAAACTTACCTGGATGTGTTCCTGTGTAACCTGCTCTAGGTGGCCCTACCTTGGAAGGGGGGTTGGACTGGATGATCTCCAGAGGTCCCTTCCAACCCTAACAATTCTGTGATTCTGTGAAATGAAGAAACAAAGTGGGAAAACTCTACTTTCCCTATAGGTATTCTTTAAAAAGCTGGTCTCCACCCTTCCACCCATACTACAATGGTATGTCTCCCCTCAGAATTAATAACATAAGTTTAAGGATGAATCCAAAAGCAACAAAATTTCTGAAAACATAAATTTATAATAAGGGACATTCCACAAGACACTCCATAGGTTTGGTCTGAGAATGCATTCCTGAGAAATTGCATGGCCTATGTAAACTGAGCACAGTTGCTTGCAGTGCATGTTTTAGGGTTGCAAATAAATAAATGCATTTTACAACAATGAAAAAGCAACCCTCTAGCAAGACTAATTTTAATATTTAATGGCAGCATTACAGAATTTGGAACAAAACATAGCAAAAGCCTAATTAAATTTCTAAATGTGCTACTTCAAACAGAACACCAAGGAGCTTGATATTTGTAGCAAATGGGGAAGTGACTGAAGAATGAGCTAAAAAAGGAGTGATAAGCAAACCAAGAAAAGCAAATACATTAAAGCTGATGAACAGCATCTAGAAATTAGATGCACTGGAAAAAATTATCTCTGGGAAATCTGAAACATCATATCTCTGTAAAGCATGCCATATCTCTTCCAATATTCAGCAGAAAAACTACATTCCTAAACATATACATTACCATTTACTATATATGGTTTCAAGTTTGTTCTTCTTGTCTCACAAAACAATATATTTTTGTTGAAAAATTATAACTGCATAGCAGAGCCTGCATTATTCTAGCTGGTACACAGTAAAACTTTAAACTTCAGCTAAAACTGTTAAAACATCTAGCACATCAAGTAAAGAAACTGTTTTAGCTTACTCACAGCATTATATTCCTACTTACAAGTATGTAAGCATTCCGTTACAGTAGTGGCATCAATCAGGTATCCATTGCATAAATGACAGGTTATATGGACATTAATGTCCCAAAGCTTAATCTTTCTAGTCATCATCTTTGGTATCTGTAAAAAAAAACAAAAAACAAACAACAAAAAAAAAAATCACCCACACATTACATAGCAACTCAGATTTACTGATGAGATAAAAGCAGTTTCGGAATAAATGAGCAATTATAATTCACCTTAAAGATATGCTCATGTAGATAGTTTCAGGTTCTTGTATATGTATATATTTTGAGTACTAAACTTTTAAAAGATTATAAAAATGAATGATGAAATAATTAAAATCTACACTAATTTACATGTCAAGGTTTCAGAGTAGAAGAGTCCTAGGTAGCCTAATTAAAGCCATTTTTGTCAGAGACACAAAGGATAAAAAAGATAATACACACATCTAGACAAACATTCATTTAATGAATGGAGAATAAAAACCAGATACTTTTTGGTAAAGAAAAAATATATATCTAATAGAATTCTCTGATTATGCCTAAGGAGCAAATAAACCTGGTGATATTTAACAGAACTTGCAAGAACACCATAAAACTCAGTAGTTGTTTAAATAACTACCTTGAGTTCAGCTGTAACAGTTATTTTTCTCCTTCTTAGCAGCTAGTGCAGTGCTGTGTTTTCGATTTTAGTCTGAGAACAACATTGATAACACACCAATGCTTTAGTCGTTGCTAGGTAATGCTTACTCCAATTAAGGACTTTTCAGTCTCATGCTCTGCCAGTGAGGAAGGGCACAAGAAGCCAGGAAGAAGCAGAGACAGGACACCTGACCCAAACTAGCCAAAGGGGTATTCCATACCACAGCACATCATGCCCAGTATAGAAACTGGGGGGAGTTACCCAGAAGGCCCAAATCACTGCTCAGGTCGGGATGGATATTGGTCAGCAGGTGGTGAGCAATTGTATTGTGCATCATTCATGTTTACTGTTGTATTTTTCCCCTTCCCTTTTTAGTTTTTTATTCTCTCCCCTTGTTGTTTCCCTTATCATTATTAGTAGTGGTAGCAGTAGTAGTTTTGTATTATACTTTAGTTATTGGTCTGTTCTTATCTCAACCTGTGGGAGTTACATTCTTTCGATTCTCTTCCCCATCCCTCTGGGAGCAGAGGGGAAGAAGGGGGGGAGGAGTAAGCAAGCAGCTGCGTGGTTCTGAATTACCGGCTGGGCTTAAACCACGACAAGAATGCACTGGTATCTATTAGCAGGAAGTAGAAATACAGAGACAACTTTTTCCAGGGCATTAGTCACTTCTACTTCAAAATATGATGCAAGCCACAATAAGAGGTTTCTCTAGAAGGCGTAATCCATACTGCCAACACGTAGCTGTTAAAACAAGAGAACAGATTTACTACACATGCAGAGGTCCTGACATACAAGTTCCACCACAAGATGAATTTCTGACAGGCAATGAAATTTTAAGGTTCGTAAGTTCTCAGCATCAGGTTTCAGTTTAGCCTGCATCCTGTGGGCTTGAGCTATACACAACTCAAGCTCCATGTCATCCTCTGCTTACAGAAGGGTCAAGGAATTGGCTAACCTAGTAAGGAGAACTTTAAACTAGGAAAGATGGGGGAAGGGGTGAGTTATTGAGACCACACACACAGCAAAACAAGGCTTGAGCTGGCATATCTCCAGCAAGTGCATTCAGCCAAGGAAGTGCCTACAGGACATTACTATGGGGTATCCTTTTGCACCCCTCCAGGGAAACTGACATGCTTGAATACTTAAGTGCTTGTATAGCAATGCATGTAGTATGGGAAACAATCGGGAAGAACTAGAGATCCATGTGCAGTCACAGGGCTTTGATCTCAATGCAATTACAGAGATGCGGTGGGATAGCTCACGACTGGAATGTTGACACGCTTTTTAGGAAAACCAGACCAGGAAGACAAGGTGGTGGATTTGCCCTTTATGTGCACAGACACCTGGAGTGGCTGGAGCTCTGTCTCAGGGTGGATGATGAGTTGAGAGCTTATGGGTCAGGATTAAAGGGCAGACCAGCAAGGGTGATACTGTTGTGAGTGTTTGCTACAGATCACCTGATCAGGAGGATGAAGTAGATGAGGGCTTTAACATACAGGAAGTTCCTAGAAAGTACTGATGGTAACTTTCTGATACAGGTGATGGAGGAACCAATGTGGAAAGGTGTGCCGCTGGACCTTACACTAACAAACAAGGAAGGAATGGTTGGTGATGTGAAAGTTGGGTGCAGCCTGGGCTCCAGTGACCATGAGATCATGGAGTTCAATATCATGCAAGGAAGAAACAGGGCAATAAGTAAGACCGAAATCCTCAACTTCATGAAAGCTAACGTTAGCCTCTTCAGGGACCTTCTGGGAAGAATCCCATGGGAATGGGCCCTAGAGAAAAGAGGGGTCTAAGAGAGCTGTTTTATATTCAAGAATAACTTCCTCCAGGCTCATTCCCCATGGACAAGAAAATGAGCAATGGGGGTAGGAGACTTGTGTGAATGAACAAGAAAGTCCTGTCAAAACTCAAAGACAAGCAGGAGACATACAGGAGGTGGAAGCAGGGACAAGCTGCTTGAGATGAATATAGGGATGCTGTCAGAGTATGAAGAAATGTGACAAGGAGAGCCAAGGCCCATTTGAAATTGTATCTGGCTAAGGATGTCAAGGACAAAAAGGGCTTCTTCAAATGCATCATTAATAAGAGGAAAGCTAAGGAAAACATGGGCCTGCTAATGAATGGAGAATGGACCCTGGTGACAGAGGATACAAAGAAGGCAGAGATACTGAATGCCTTCTTTGCTTCAGTCTTCAGTGCCGAGGCCAGCCCTCAGAAATCCCTGACCCAGGAGACCAGGGAGCAGGTCTGAAGAAAGGAAGTCTTTCCCTTGTTTGAGGAGGACTGGGTTAAAGATCAGACAAATCTGACATCCACAAGTCCATGGGCCCCAATAGGATGAACCCATGAGTGCTGAGGGAGCTGGCAGATATCATTGCTAGTAATGTGCTCTAGGTGACCCTGCTTGAGCAGAGAGGTTGGACTAGATGACCCCTGGTTGTCCTTTCCAACCTCAACCATTCTGTGATTCTGTGATCACGGGCAAAACAGATTCAACTTACGGAAAATAAATTAATTTATTGACAATAACAGAGTAGGATAGTGAAAAATAAGAACAAAACTAAAACCACCTTTCTCCCATTCCTGCCTTTTTCCAGGTCTATCTCCTCCCATCTGTCCTGAGCAGTGCAGGGGAATGGAGAAAGGGGGTTGCTGTCAGTTCATAAGGTTTCATCTCTGCCTCTCATTCCTATTCACACTCTTCTTCTGCTCCAGTGTGGGTCCCCCATGGACCACAGTTCCTGCCAGAAGCCTGCTCCACTGTGGGGTCCTCCACAGGCTGCAGGCTGGATATCTGCTCCAACATGGTCCTCCATAGCCTGCAGGGGGACAGTATGCTTCACCATGGTCTTCTCCACAGGCTGCAGTGGAATTTCTGCTCCTGCACCTGGAACACCTCCTCTCCCTCCTTCTTCACTGACCTTGGTGTCTGCAGGGTTATTTCTCTCACGTTTTCCTCACTCCTCTTCCTCACAGCTGCTGTGCAGCATTTTTTGCCCTTACTTAGATATGTTGTCACAGAGGGGCCACCAACTTTGCTGACTGGCTCAGGTTTAGCTAGTGGTGGGTCTGTTTTGGAGATGTCTGAAGCAGTCTCTGTCTGACATGGGGGCAATTGCTGATCTCTTCTCACAGAGGCCACCCCTGTAGCCCCCCTGCTACCAAAATCTTGACATGTAAACCCATTATAACTCCTGAGATACAAAAAGAAGAAATTAGTGGAATCAAATTACCACCTTAAATGAGAAATTAAAATTAAGAAGAGTAAACAACAAATCATTAGGAAACATGTATTTAGGGATTTCTCAGATCTGTTCTGTATCACATAAGAGGAAAGCACATATTGCAAACTGAATTATATCATCTCCCATTAAATAATCCTGACTAACTGTACTGAGATAGAGTTAACTTTCTTCATAGCAGCCTGCATGGTGCTGCCCTTTGTATTCATAGCTAAAAGTGTTGATAACAGCTGACCCCAAACGAACAAAGGGATATTCTATACCATATGACATCATACTCAGCATTAAATGATCAGAGAAATGAGGAGGAATTGGGGGTATTTGTGGTTATGGCATTTGTCTTCCCAAGCAACTATTATGTGTGCTGAGGCCCTTCTTCCCAGGAAGTGGCTAAACATCTGCCTGCTGATGGGAAATAGTGAATTAATACCTCTTTTTGCTTTGCTTGTGCACACAGCTTTGTCTTTCCTTATTAAACTGTAATTATCTTGATCCCTCTATTTACTCCTTGTCCTGTGGGAGAGGGGAGTGAGCAAGAGGCTGGGTTGGTGTTGACCAGGGACAACCCACCACACTAGTGTATTTATGAAAGTTAAACACTGATGATTCAAGATACAAAGCTACCGTACTTAAGAAGAAACTACCCATGTGAATAGATGTTTAACACAAGATTTCTTGCACATTCCTGTATGGCATCTGTTAACATCTATAACTTCAGATGGAGTACTAGGTTAGTTGAACCACAGGAATGTTCTGGTAAGAAAGTTCTAGCACTCCATGACCTACCACCCAACAAATGTTCAAGTCATTTACATCATATAAAATAAACCAGGTTTTATAAAAGCACCACAAATGTATTTTTCCTGTAACCATATAACTTAAGAAAAGTCCATTCCAACAAGTAGGAAAGCCAGGAAAGGTGGCAGGAGGCCTGGACGGATGAGCAAGGAGCTCCTGACTGAACTCAGATATACAAAGGAAGCGCAGAAGAAGTAGAAACAGGGGCAGGGTACTCACGACAAGTACAGAGATTGTAAGGCACAAGAAAACTTTGTTACAGTAACCTAGGATAGTGCCTCCCCCATCTGAGTACGTAGAGTCCCAAGCACATCTTCTCTTGTTGTTAAGATAACCTGGGATAGTTTGCTTCCCCCTCATCTGCACATACCCACCCATGAAGGCCAGCTGTGCATCTCAGAATTCAGACAACAGCACCTGCATTACATCAGTAAGATTGCTAATGAGCAAAATAGGTCATTGCATACACAATATGCAATGGATATTTTGCAAGTGTTATTATCCACCCCTGCAGTGCTTCACTTCTTAACAGGGTTCTGATTCGTTGGGTCCCTATTAGATTAGCATCAGTGTCCCAGAGCTCTCACCATGGCAGCACTATGCTTTCATTAAAGAGAGCTTTCACTTTGCTGAGTGTTGTGCCTCATCCCTGACGGATCTTAACCTGCATTTCTCTCATAACACTTGGTGCATTTGGCAGGATGATAGAATCATAGAATAGTTAGGGTTGGAAAGGACCTTAAGATCATCTAGTTCCAACACCCCTGCCATGGGCAGGGACACATCACACTAAACCATCTCACCCAAGGCTTCGTCCAACCTGGCCTTGAACACTGCCAGGGATGGAGCATTTACAACCTCCCTGGGCAACCCATTCCAGTGCACCAGGTACAATGCTGTTTTGGTCACAAGAGGCCCTGATAAAAGGTCTCTCCCCATCTTTCTTGCAGGCCCCTTTTAAGCACTGAAAGGCCCTAGTCTTCTCATCTCCAGTCTTAACAACCCAAACTCTCTCAGTCTTTCCTCAAGGATGAGGTATTCCATCCCTCTGATCATTTTTGTGGCCCTCCTCTAGACCCTCTCCAACAGGTCAATATCTTTCCTGTACTGAGGACTCCAGAGCTGGACGCAGTACTCCAAGGTGGGGTCTCACTAGAGCAGAGGGGGAGAATCATCTCCTTTGACGTGCTGGCCACACTTCTTTAGATGCAGCCCAAGATACAGTTGGCCTTCTGGGCTGCAAGTGCACATTGCCAGTTCATATCCAATCTTTTATCCACCAGTACACCCAAGTCCTTCTCCTCAGGGGTACTCTCAATCCCTTCATCCCCCAGCCTGTATTAATCCTGGCAGTTGCCCCAACCCAGGTGCAGGACCTTGCACTTGGCCTTGTTGAACTTCATGAGGTTCATGTGAGCCCACTTTTCGAGCTTGTCAAAGTCCCTCTGGATGGCATCCCATATACAAACATATATTAACTGAAGATGTTTTTAGCTTGGCTTCCTTCAGTAACAATGCTTATGTGACTACTCAGTGCATACAAGATGCATGCTCAATAACTTGTAAATCTTTCATATGATTGTTGTCAAGTTCACAGACAAATCTCATAGATATTTATGTTCTTAAATAAAAGCAAACAGCCAGGCAGGAGGAACCAGGACTTGAACATTTGCAGTTTTACCCTCTGCTTTTGAATGCATTTTTCACACCACTGAACACAGCAAAACTTCAGCTGCCACCAAACCTTTATCTAAAATATTGTTTCGTAGCAATTAGTAGAAAGTTACAGAAAAATCTTAGCATAACTTGTTTAAAAAAAAAAGTCAGAGCCAATCAAGGCAAATCTGTACGACACAAAGCTTCATTAGCTCTGCCACTCAGTTCCTTGCTTAAACAATCTGCTACAGCAGAAAGTCTTAAGCAAACTGAGAAGTACTGTAAATAACAGTCTGAAATTCTTTATCTACTGCATAACAGCATTTGATCAGAAGCATCTTACTCTTAACCCAGCAGTAAGTGAGAACCGATTGTCATAACATGATCCCCTACCCTCAAATCCATTACTGGAAGAGAGGAAGCTACCCTCCACTCTAATTTCATGTTTTTTAAATTACAAAGGTCTTCTCAGATAGAAGATACCTCTTTAAAATTAATTTGTGCCCCAGTTGCTGAAAAAAAAAAAAGCAGGAAATGTGAGAAATCAGCCCTTTGCAGCTTAGATCATTCTTTAGGACCCTTGCAAACAGAGCTTACAAGCCAGTGAAAGAAGCGGTTCTGTGATGAGCTGAAGAGCTGGTTTTAACCCCAAAAAGTACTTTTAACTAGGAAACATTCTTTAGACAGAATCAAAAAAAGAAAAAAAAAACAAACAACACACAGAACACTACATTGTGACTACTTAAAGAAGGAGACCTTCTAAAGTTTCAGAGACCTGACTCAATCCTGAAGACAAGGAAAGGTTTTATTTTGAAAAATTAGAAAAATGAGAGTGCTAAAAAGATTGAATGAGACCTAGTGTCCTGTGAGAATGAGAAAGAGGCAATTTTTCTAAAATCTGTTCCAAATTGTAAGAAAGAGAACAGTTTCCCTAGAATTTCTTGAATGAATCCTGAAATTGATAAGAACTAGCAAATTTAATTTCTAGGAGAGTGCTTTTGCTAGAAGCTGTAAAGCACTGAATTATTCAGATACAACATATCAACACTGGAGTAAAAGAGGCAGACCTCTGAATAGATGGAACATGAAAACCGAAACAAAAATCAGATCCAAATATCCAGCCAATATGACAAAATTATGGTTTGAGCAGAGACTAGTATTTCTTCTTTTTGGTTCTAAATAATGTTATGTTATAACACACTGAGGCTAGCAACAATATCGGTGCCTGATAGCCTAAGTATTCAGCCAAGGAATGGAATAGAGGAAACTACAAAAGTATTTGGAGTACATTCCCAATTTAAAGAAAATCCACAATGGGAGGAGGTGGAAAGGAGTAGAGATGTGTCAGTCAAGTATCCTCATTCATACTATACTTTCTCTACTAAGGTAATATCTTGTTAACATTATCAACCAGAAGGGTAAGCAGTATGTTACAGTCCTCTTCAGTAAAGTCATGCCACTAATGAAACAGTTTGAAAAAGTAGCTTTCAGAGATCCAGCAAAGAAAACTTATTAGAGTAGACTCTCAGAAACAGAGGACAAAGAGACCCCTCCTCAAAGGAATGGCTTTATCATTAGCATATATGCTAGTCAGGAATATTAGCATATATGCTAGTCAGGAATATTTTGGGCTACATGAAACATACCTCTTAAAATTGCATTTCTTTTCAGTCTGCCATCCAGAGGCCTGAAAAGACAGGAAAAAAAAATCTGAAAGTTATCATCCAAAACTTTTAAAATTCAGCTACCAAATAGAAATCTTAGCCAACTAAGTTCACCTAACACTACCTACATGTATTAATTCAAAACAACTCAAAGAAAAATTTAACATTTTTAGCAAAGAGAAAAAAGGAAAGCCTGACAGAATTAGAACAAAAAGCAACTTCAGGAAACACCCACCCTCTATGAAAGGACAAGCTTAGCATGGAAAAGTAAAAACAGCTCAAAATTCAAGCAGTCCTGATACCATGTGGTGGCAAAAATACTAAAACCCCCAAATTATCTGCTGCACTGGGCCTGGCTAGGATGGAGTTAATTTTCTTCATAGCAGCCTGTATCCTGCTAAACACTAACTAGCACTTCAGCTGGCTGACACCTGCAATCCCTCCAAAGCTGCCTCTGACAATCAGAACACCCACAGTGTCATCCAGAAACAGCTTGGAGCCCATCATGATTAGCAGAGCTTATTCAAAAGGAAGAGAGGTATAGCAATACAGTGCTGTTTTGGATTTGTTACCAAAACAGTGTTGATAACACACCAATGTTTTAGCTGTTGCTGAATACTGCTTACACAATGTGAAGGCCTTCTCCATTTCTCATTCTGCCTCACAGCAAATAGGTTGGGATGTGCAAAAAGTTGGGAAGGGACACAACCAGAATGGCTGACCTGAACTGACCAAAGGGATATTCCATACTGAATAATGTCATGTAGCACCAATAAAATCGAAGGGGAGGGGAGTTTTGGGTAAATACCTATTACTCAGGGACTGTCTAGGCATTGGTCTACTTGTAGGAGGTGGTGAGTGATTGACTTTGCATCATCTTTTTTTCTATTTTTTTCTTTCTTCTTCCTCTTTCCTTAGTTTATTATATTATCTTTATCTCAAAACATGAGTTCTCTTGGTTTTGCTCTTCTATTCTCTCCCGTCCCACTGGTGGGGGGAAGTGAGCAAGCAGATGTGTGGTGCTTAGCTGCTAGCTTGAGTCAATCCATCACATCTGCACAGATGAGAATGACAAAAGAAAATGACTGGCCTGTTTAAAAGAAGATTTGGGTTTGAAGATTCCCATCAAACAGTACTAGTCTCAAAATCTATTTAAAAGTATCTGCTCTCCATTTCACTGAATTTCCAAAAAATATTCAGATGGAAATCTGTCATATCTCAAAAATTTTCATATATTTTCCAACATAAAAGGAAAAAATATTTTTCCATCACATTCCAAACAGATGATAACCACACAAACATTTTAGCTTGACAAAAGAAGGGAATTTTTTTAAAGATTAATTCACACAGAAGACAGCCAGATGTTATAAAGACAAGCAATGAATACTGCTTAATCTTCCTCCATCAAAAACAAAGGCATAGCGTGCAATTATTATTTTTGCTTTTATATTGCTTAAGGAAATTATAAACACTATGGTAAAATGAAACTTCATGACAGCAACAGATGAAAATCAGAATGTAATGCAACAGAACAATCTCTCAACACCTCCTTTAGGTACTTTTTTATTGCATTCAGAGAAAATTCAAAGAAATGTTAAACACTGCCACACTGAAAGCAGAGTGGCATTAAATGCCTTTTTGTTGGTACCAACAAAAAACTTCACACAAAGACTAGAAAATCCCTTGGATGTAGAGGAGAATGGACATCAGAATGCACCTGCTGTAAAAGAATCCATTCCTTCAGCAAAAAAAAAATCCTAATTTATACTGTGGTCGAAGAAACTGAATTACAGGTTTATCACCTGAGCATTCTAAAAACACACGGCCTGGGTTCAACAGTAGCAGTTATTTTTCTCCTTAGTAGCTGGTGCAGTGCTGTGTTTTCGACTTTAGTCTGAGAACAGTGCTGATAACACACCAATGTTTTAGTTGTTGCTAAGTAATGCTTACCCTGATCAAGGGCTTTTTAGTCTCTCATGTTCTGCCAGTGAAGAGGGGCACAAGAAGCTAAGAGGAAGCAGAGGCAGGACACCTGACCCAAACTAGCCAAAGGGGTATTCCATACCATAGCATGTCATGCCCAGTATAGAAACTGTGGGCAGTTACCCAGAAGGCCTGGATCGCTGCTCAGGTTGGGCTAGGTATTGGTTGGTGGGTGGTGAGCAACTGTATTATGCATCACTCATGTTTATTGTTATTTTCTTAACTTTCCCATTTTAATTTTATATTCTCTCCCCTTATTATTTCCCCTATAATTATTATTTTTGATGGTAGTAGTGATGCAGAGGGTTGACCAATGTACAAGGGGGTTGTACAAGGGGATTGCACAAGGGGGTTGTACAAGGGGGTTAGAGGAATTCGCTTGCTTAAACAAAAGTATTGTCTGGGTTCTATTGATAAGGAAAAGCAGACACCTGGTTCTATTGACAAGGAAAAGCAGATGCCTGATTCTACTGATAAGCAGAAACTGATAAGGAAAAGCAGATGCCTGAATCTACTGATAAGGGGGAGAAGCAGATGGTTTATGGCTGGGACACCAACCAAACCCTAAGGCCATACATGAAGACTAAAAGGTGAAAAGTCTAAGAAGAGGAAGACTCATTTACTTCATCTTGAGACCCCTGCCCATGACCAGAGGGGGCACTGCACAGGCTCAAAGGACCTTCTAGCTCATTATAATACGAAGCGGAGATAGGACATGAATGTATAGGCATATTGTGCAACCTTATAAATATATACAACTTTAGAGAATAAATGTAGAGGGTGTCCTGGGTTTAGCAGTAACAGTCAATTTTTCTCCTTCTTGGTAGCTGGTGCAGTGCTGTGTTTTGACTTTCAGCCTGGGAACAGTGCTGATAATACCAATGTTTTCAGTTGTTGCTAAGTAATGTTTACCCTGACCAAGGACTTTGTGAGGCTCATGCTCTACCAGGGAGAAGGGGAAGCCAGGAGGAAGCAGAGAGGGGGACCTGACCCAAGCTAGCCAAAGATGTATTCCATACCACAGCATGTCATGCCCGGGGGGGTAAAAGGGAGTTACCCAGAAGGACACGGGGTCTTATGGGTCAGACTCGTTTCTTGGCCGGTGATATTGTATTCTCTTCCCTTGTTATTTTCTCTTATCATTGTTGTCGTTGGTGGTAGCGGTGGCGATTTGTGTTGTACATTGGTTGCTGGACTGTTCTTGTCTCAACCCGTAGGAGTTGCACTCTTTCGATTCTATTCCCCATCCCTCCGGGAGCAGGGAAGGAGAGAGCCCCGGGGGGGGGGCCTCGATTGCTTCCAGACTGGCACCACTCACTGGGAGTTAGTGAACAAGCTGTCTGCCTAGGGTATAAAGCACGACAGTTCTTTTTGGCACCCAACATGGGGCTCGAGGGGTTGAGAGAACGACAGATATGCCCAGATTAATAGTCACTCGTCACAATGCTGATTTATTGGCTCTCAAGGTTGTTCCTCTTGATCTCACAGTTTCAGTATATCGTACCTTACTTCCAGCCGGTATTTGCGGTATTAGTGTTTTTCAAATGTGGAGCCTGGGCTAAGGTTTTTGTCTCATTGTAATTTATGGTAATGACTTGTAATAAAATAGAATCATTGATCATGAAACTGATCTGGCTTATGTTCCCAGTGTGGTCACCACCTTTATACTTTGGGAGGTTTATAATAAAAGTGCTTAGGAATTACACATCTTTTTTCTCCTTCTCGGGTGGTCAAACTGTGAAGGAGACATTCTTTTACCCTCCCAGTCCTCCCCCCAGACCATGTACAGCATCATTTGAGAGATTTGAAGTTTTTGAATGGCCTTTTAATGCTGTTGAGACTTGTTTGCTGATGGTGATGGGAATCACCATGCTAACACGCATACAGAGTGTATTTTGCCCACGACTGATTTCAAGTGATAAGCAGAGTCAGGTTTGGGTCTTGTCTGGGGTCAAATGACGATGTAGGAGGACCAAGAGATTTTCCCTGAGGCTGGACAGTCATGATTGGCAGGGTGTGTGGGATAGTATGGGCAAGTATCTAGGTCAGTGGGCCCCTCCAGTACTTTGGAATTTCACCACCGAACAACTGCAAAATGTACTGTTCAACACTATCCAGCACCTTCAAAAGGAAAAGAATGTCAGTGGATCTGAGGGTAAAGCAACAGTCAGCGCAGCTACTCCAGCTCCAAGCACAGCAGCTTCACCACCCCCAGCAACAAGTACAGTCGCTACTCAAACTTTGGCTGCAATGAACAGCGCAGCTACCCCACTGGCAAGTAAAGCAGTTACTCAAATTTTGACTGCAACAGACAGCGCAGTTACGCCAGCTCCAAGCACAGTAGCTACACCACCCCCAGCAACAAGTACAGTCGCTACTCAAACCACAGTGATAATCACTGCAGCCAAACCAGAGGACCAATTCGTACCAGTATCAGTCGCCCCTGCACGCAAGAGAAAAAGCAAAAAAGAGGCAAGAAGGGTGAAGCAAGATGAAGAAACAATGTATTCACCACCCGGTCTAGCATCTGATCAGGAGTCATCATCACATGACGAAGAAGAAGAAGAAGAGGTAACTTCTCGACCTCGGACCTCAACCGAGCTACGGAATATGCGAAAAGATTTCCCGTCAACCAGGGGAGCACATCATCACCTGGTTACTCCGATGCTAGGAATATGGGGCCGATGCTCACAAACTAGAAGGTACAGAAGCCAAGCAGCTGGGAACACTTGCTAGAGAAGGGGGAATTGACAAAGCAATTGCAAGAGAGAAAAAGTCCCTCCGTCTTTGGAGGCGGCTCTTGGCAGCTGAGAAAGAAAGTTTTCCATAAAAGGATGATGTTACGAGTCGTTCGGCCAAGTGGACTACTTGCATCCAGTCTCTGAGGGAATCAGCCATCGTAGAGATGATCTATCACACCAAGCCGAATAACGGGGATACACCCATAGAACCAGATAAAGTTGAATGTACACGACCCATGTGGCGAAAACTTACACGGAATGCACCGTCATCATATGCCCATTCATTGGCAACAGTGACC